TGTAACTGAAAGTTTTCATCCTTAAGTTTGCTCTTTTAGTATTGTGACTAGCTTTTAATTTTTATTGCGGATGAAGAAGTAGAACAATCCTGATAAATTCCTGTCATAGATGAAAATAAATACCATTTATATACTGTAGTACATCTACCACTGTAAGAACCCAAAAAATGTTAGTTGTTACCATAGTTTTGAGTTTCTCATGCTTTTTATTGAATGGCAACAGCATATTATCATTCCCACTCTGTAGCCGTGGCCACTGCAGTGAAAAGCAATGGGAACTTGGTCAAAGCTGCAGAAGGCTCTTGGGGAACCAGCTGCATTCACTTGGCACTGGTATCATAGTTGAAGGGGTGGTTTATCTGCTCAGTTGATAATGGCTGGGTAGCAACCCTGTTTCACTGGGAGAGATAGCAAGTGTCATAGTATCCTGTCCAGAGAATCGCTACCTGTTTGTTTTCCAGAAGTACAGTGAATAGTTAGGATCAATTGTTTTGATGTTTCACAGTGGTCATTAGGAAAATGAAGTGGTTGGAAGGAGATAAGTAGAGTACATGTAAAAATCACCTGGTCTGGGAATTTGCAACAATTGCTTCTGGTCCAGTGCTGATGAAAGAATAAGTAATAACAGAATGAGGAAAAGTTAATGGGGAAAAAGATGAAGAAATGTATTGCCGATGTGTCACCAACTTCTTTGAGATTGTAAGTGGAACAAGGTTAATGACCGTCAGGTTTTAAGAACAGCTCTAAAACTTAACTGACAAAAGGGAGATCCTTCAGCATTCCTAGGTGGGTCATAAGTAACATGGTGCAGCTGAAGAATAGAAAAAAGAACAGGGAAGAGCCGTGAGGGAAAATGCTGATGTTCAGATCATTCTGATAAATAATTACCTGAATGTACTCCCTACATCCTGTGTTGGTGCATCTTCTGAGCAACTTTTGGAGATGAGATACATGTCCCCTTTTCCCTGTTGACACAGTGATTTTTCCAATGCTATTAGTTTGGCAGGACTTGATACAAACTATCTAATAATAAGAAAGCAAGGGACCTGTTGGGTTATCTCATAAAGGCTCTTCGGAGTCTTTTCTAGAAATTTCTGACATAATTTTTCTAATCTTTTATTTGCGTCAAGAGAGTTTTCTCATTATGAAGATATAGATATACAGGTTCCATAGCATATGCTTCAGAGAACTGACTTTGAAGTAAAAAAAATAACTTATTCCCCACTTCATTGTCATAAAAGCAAAAGTGCTTTATCACAGAAATATGCATTCATCATTTGAAAAATTTAAAATGTATATAAACAAAAAGAAGAAAATAACCACCTATAATTCCATTCATTAGAAATAATCTCTATTCATATTTCATTTTTGAGTTGAAAAGAATCTAATTAATAATAATCCAAAGCAAATGCCAAGATTTCTTTTTAAAAAGGAAATCTCTACTGTTTGAGGTGTTAGATTTACCAGAGGCTTATTAAGATATATTGCACAGACAAACTATAGCAGTTTCAAAATAGCTTATGCCGTTTATAAAAGGGTGTATAATTTACATGAATTTTAAAATCACAATACGACACGATTCCACTTGATGTTAGAATCTTTAATTACACTACATTAATTCTTTGCCCAATCTTTGGTTGCCTGCCTGAAGACTGTCCATTATGTTCATTCTGAACCCTGGATTTTTTATGTAATTGTGTGTAACTTTTATTTGAAAAGGAAAAGTAAAACTATGAGGAGCGCCTGGTAAGGGCCCTTCTGTGCTGTGACTCTGCCGAAGAAGGCAGCCCTTGTGATCCCCACAGGAAGTTGGAACAGAACACAGGATAGGACAGCCCTCAGCAAGTTTGGTTGATAGACCCTTGTGATTCATATGAGCCCTTGGCCAGGCCCTCATTCCTGCTTTCCTGTTTCTTACTTTCCAGTTTTTCAATTCAGATCCTGAAAAATCTCTCATAGCTTTTCTTTTCTGATCCAGTTTTGCATGGGCCCTATTTAGCAAGTGAGTTACTCTCTGCAGATGTCAACCGTTTGTCCCCAAGAACAATTGTGTTGAAAATGTTATCATAAACTGTCCTCAGTCAGATCCTCATGACTGCTGTAGCATTTTTTGATAAATAACCATACTAAAATAGTATTTGGGTCAATAATATAATACTTCCAATCAATTCAGCCTTTAGAGTTTGGTTTCACTTTTGATGGACATTTTTTAGAAACTCTAGGAAACAATTATTTTATTGGCTTGTTTGCTAATAAATTTTCACTGTCGAAAACAGAAACCTCTTAGGCAAATAGTTATCCTAAGATCTAGACTTTTTTTTAACTATTTTTTTTCCTACGACTTTATGTGAATCCCACATACCTGTCTAGCACAGGAACATTTCTTGGTTCTCTGGTTGTCAATTTGTTCTCTATTATTCTGTTTCTATTTTGAATTTTCTCCTACATTTGATACCTTATATTTGATTAATATTGAATGGCAATGAGTGGCTCTCAGAGACATTCTTTTTTAATTCAAGGTATTATCTGAATAATGCTAATGAAACTATTTGGAATGAAATGCTATTTTATAATAAGCATAGTCCTGACAGTCCCATCTGTCTTCAGCTTCCAGTGTGGGACGTGCCTTCTCCTTTGATTTCACAGTACCTTCTACATAACATTTCTTGGAAGATTTCACTCAGTATTGTGTTCATTTGTCATTCTCAGAAGATTGAATTCCTTAGAGCAGGGACTAGCACATATAAATGCTTGTTGAGTGTAACTCCAGGGAGAACATTTTTTCCCAGCCCAGGGCAAAATACTTTTGAAACCTTAATCAATCAAAGGGAGAAATAAAGTGGGAGAAACCCGTTTATTGCTTACAAGCAGTCGTCCAGTTCTGCTCACCCCTCTCTCGCAACCCAGATGCCAAAAAAGGGACCCCACCCAACCTCTCCTGTCCAGATATGCCCTCACTTCCCCCAACCCTTGTAATAACCTATTGATAGGGAAATGGACTACTTCTCTCCACCCTTTGGAAATACCTATTGATATGGACATGCACTAAGGCCAGGCGAGAGATTCTGGAAATGTTGCAATTTTACCCACATTGAATAAATGAATGAAAGAATAAATGCAATATGGCAACATTTTAGCTAGCTCTAGGAGGTACCAGTGTGTATTGGTGAAGAGCATGGACTCTGAAGCCAAAACTACTTGTATTCAAATCTTAGCTCCATCGTTCATTAGCTTTGTATCCTTAGACAGCTGTTGATGACATTTGTGTGGCTCAGTTTTGTCTTTTCAAATATGGGAATAATTATAGTACCTAGCAGTATCCTTAGACAGCTGTTGATGACATTTGTGTGGCTCAGTTTTGTCTTTTCAAATATGGGAATAATTATAGTACCTAGCTCCTACAGTTGTTTGTTATAAAGATTAAATGAGGTTATATATACAAAGGGCTGAGAACAGAGCCTGTATATAATAAGTGTTATGTAGTATTTGCTACTAATGTTATTATCCTTTTTGTTTTTAATAGCCTTGGCATGGAAGAGTGGGTGCCCTTAGGAAATTCATTCTGCATTCATTTTTCCTCCTGTCATCCTGAGGTGCTTTGTCTTCCGTTTGGGTTGAGGAGTCCTTGGGTATGGGGAGGGGTAGCGGAGGTCCTCATATATCAAAAGCTGAGGACATGTGTACCTTTATCAATTACCAGGCTGCAGGGACTGAACTAACAAATAGCTTTTTGTTTTATTTAGAATTATGTCCATTCAGTATAGTAACACTGTTACCTCAGGTGGGCTCAGATTCATCTTAATTCAGAGGATAAATAAACTAATTATTAATTAATAAACATAATTTATTTGGTAGGTAAAATATTTAACAACAGTGACCCATAGTAGAGGTAATAAAAGGAGTTTTGGATAAACAGAATGGAGAAGACAGGGTTGAAAGATTGAAGTCAGGCTGCATAATTAACTATTTAAAAATTTTTATTGTTTGCATTTTGATAAGTGGGCTATTGGGTTTGATTGATTGTAGCTAGCTATTATCTCAGGTTCATAGTCTCCTCCTCAACATTTTATTATAGAGAATTTCGAATATACAGCAGTTAAAAGGATTTCACAGTGAACATCATATACTCAACATGGAGATTCTACCATTAACGTTTTGCTATACTTGCTTGGTCACATATCTGTACATTTATCCATTTTTCTGTCCATACATTTTGCATTTTTACATATTTGCTTAGGTTTATTTTAAAAGAAAGTCATTATCTGTATGGTAGAATTCAGTGTTCTATTCTCGGTCCCCAGGATACTCATAGTCACATCCACATACATGAACCAATACTTTTAAAGAGTTGCAGAGTTAAAATTAGTATTACTGCAAGGATTCTTTAAGAGTCAAAGTGGGGATAGAGAAAGAAATGTGTAGGTGGAAAAATAAGTGCTTGGGAGAATAATTCAATGTAGTAGATTCTCCATCAAAACATTCTTTTTGATACATTTAAAAAAATTTTTAAGTTACATTTTGCCAAGCTATGTAGGCTCAGTTCCAATTGTTTCCAGTAAATGGCAACATTTATGAAACAATGAAGGAACTAAGTTAAATAGAAAGTTTTAAAGAAAATCCTTGTAGGTTGAAGGTTAACAATCAGATACACATGAACACTGAAGATACTAGTTTGTGTCAACTTTAATTCCTCTAGACAAGTTATGAAATCTCATTGCGTGGCTTTCTTTTTCATCACTATTATAACAGCGCTAGCTCTTTGGGAATTCTGCCAACAACTCTAAAGAGCATGAATAGGTCACAGGGCAAAATCTTGATTATGATTCAAAAGAAGAAGGCGTAGTCACTTTGTTCCTCATCAACTAAGGAAACACTCCCTAGAAAACGGCTTTTCTTTTGCAGGGCAGTGTTTTGGTTGCTCTTGCTTTCTGGCAATGCATGTTTACTAGAAAATGCAGAGCTCAGAGTTACTAATGAGCATTTATCCCTTTTATTTTTAGTTCACTTCTGTAACTGAGATGGATATGATGTAACCTCCACTGAGTCAAAGAATGGCATCTAGTCCTGAGCTTTCCACTGAAGACGAACAAGTTTCCGTGGGCATTGAGGATCTCCATATTTCGCTGCAAGGTAAGTAAGATTGGGTGGGGTAACGCTCATGGCAACTGTAGGAACCTTGACCTCATCTATTCCACAAATCGTATTGATTTCTGTCTCTCTTACGTATTTTTCCAATTGTAGAACCTCTCAGTATACTTTAATGTCTTTACTGCTATCTCAGCTCTCTAAGAAAGTAAGGAATATGTGGAAGGAATTTGGTATCTTGGTTTCTCACTCTTGATTATACGTATTTTATTTGCGGTGAAAATTAAATTGTTAACTGTAGCTTGCTTATCATTGTTTGCACTGATTTTGCATCTTCTTGCATAGGGTCTTTTAAGTGTACCTTCTTAGTTTGCCCTAATAGGAAGAGATAGTAGTAATAGTGTAAGTGAATGACCTTTCAATCATGAGAATCATGTGTGCATTTATGCAGAATAAGTATTGTTCATATATATGTATTTTTTAGTGCTTCTTGTGGAGTTTGACAGTATTTATTTTGTATTTTGAAAATTCATTAGCCACTAGACTTTACACCTTTGCTGATAAAGCAAATCTTGGAGCTGAGTATTTAGCTAGTGTAGGAGAAATAAGGCTATGGCAAGTCTTTGAAAATGTTTATGTAACTATGTATTTTAAAGTAATTTTTAGACTATGGACAACAATATGCAACATTCTTAGAATGTTACTTAGAAGCCATAGATTTTGAATCATTTCATTTTTTATTGTAATTGAAGTATAATTGATATACAGCATTATATTAGTGTCAAGTATGCAACATAATGATTTGATATTTGTATATATTGCAAAATGATCACCACAATAACTCTCAGTAACATCTGTCACCATACATAGTTACAAAATTGTTTTTCTTGTGATGAGAACTTGTAAGATTATTCTCTTAACAACTTTAAAATATGCAATACAGTGTTATTAACTATAGTCTCCCTGCTGTATATTATCTTTATTTGAGTCATGTATGTTAAGGATCCCCACATAACTTTCTTTCTGATATTTTCTTTTTAATTAAAAATGTTTTGAATGATTAGCTTCTTGACTGGGGTCAATAGCTATTATAATAGACTCTATCTATTTGTATCAGGCTTTTAAAAATATCACGTAATTTGTATAGACTAAGAAATATATGATACTTGAGAAGTATATTTGAAGTAAGAATTCAAAAAATTCTAAGTATTTTTTCATGGTGTCATGTAATGTTCATAAGTAGTTGAAATCAGATTTTTATATAACTGAAAAAAATCCATATTCTTGTTATTCTCGGAAGTTTGGTTACATGTGAATAGTAACCCATGTAACTAAAACATCAGGAAGATAGTACACAAATAAATAGGTAAGTTTAATTTCTAATGCTGGATCTGCCACTTATTAGTTCTTTGAACATGGACAGGAGATTTTGTCTTTTTGAGTCTTGGTTTCCTCATATTTAAAATATGTATGATAAAGCCTATATTGTAGCAATGTTTTCAAGATGAACAATAATGTGTGCAAAGGGCTTAGCACAGAGTAGGAGCTCAATAAACGTGTTGTAGTTTCTTTTTATATATTTACAGCCAAAATTCTTTGTCTCAAAGGATTTCTTGTCCAGGAGCTCACAGCTAGAGTACAAACTTCATGGTGTATAAGAAAAATTGTAGAACAGAAGTTTGGCTTTTACTGTTGTTTTATTTGCCATTTTTTTTCAATGGCTTCCAATCACACATGGGGTAAAATCCAGACTTCTTGGTAAGGCTCACAGGCTCACCTTTCTCTCTGCCCTCATCTCCTATCTCACCCTGACAAGTATCCAGTCCCACAGCTCCCCAAGGGACCATATGCTCCCTGTCTGTGCTTTGGTTCAGGTTGCAACTGAACTTGACTCCCCTGCAACTCCCCTGCCTCCTCTTCCTACTGGAAGAAGTCCAGCTCATCTGTCATTCATCCATCCCCAAATCAGGCAAACTCAGCCTCCTCCTGAACCCTCTTCTCTCTTCTGCTAAGATTTGTGCTCCTTTCTCCCTTCTCCCACAGTACCTACTTTAGCACTTACAGTATTATAGTGATTATATTTTATATTGTGTTCTTCCCCACTGCAGAGTGTCCTCCAAGACCTCTGTGTAGTATCTTCTCGTTTACATGGCATTCTTACATACATTATCTTATTTGACTGCTTCAGCTATATTGTAAGGTAGATATTTTTATCATCAAGTTACAGAGGGAAGCTGTAGTTCAGGAAGATGGAATTACTTTCCCGTAGTCACACTGCTGGTGGTATTGGAGCTGGGTTTTGACCTGGAGGATAGTTTTCTTTCCATTGCACCACACCGGTCTGACACATTTCAAAGGACAATTAGAGAAAGGGCATTTCCCTAACTACTTTCTCTGGAAAATCCACCTAAATCTTAGCTTTATCCTAGTTAATCCATAGCAGACTTTTACATCCAGAATATGGATGGATATCTTCAGGAAACATTAATGATTTCAGGTTAACAAGTAGCTCAAAATAATTAGCAAATTGCTGAGGAGTAAGTGCTTCTTATAGAGTGTTTTGAATTATCCTAGGTTATGCAATATGCTTTACAATAGGAGATGAGTATGGGTTGCTTGACAATGGAAATGTGATAGACATACACTGCCGGTGTGAATGATTTTCCTTCATAATCTATTTGGAGGAACATGGTGCTGGATGCATTGCTCTGTAGGGGGAGAGGTGGAAAGCCAATACTCTAATATCGTCAGGTTTATTACTGGGCAAGAGCTGCTCATATTAGCCAGGCACCCTTATGGATATCTACCAAGAAGTTCCCATGACTATAGAATGAAGGATTAACTATGAAATGAATAGATCCCCCAAGTTGAATTCTATATTGTTATCAGCAGATTTATGATTCTTTTACCCTAAGTTGTTGAAATAAAGAAAGGGAGAGTAAGGGAGGAAGAAAGAAAGGAAGGAAGGAGGGAAAGAACTTTTATATATTTCTGAAGGTAACTTTGGTTCATGGCAGGATTATTAGCTGTTTGGACAAAAACATTGATAGGCAATGTTATGTACATTAGCTACTGCTGAACTGCAGGCTGTTGGCAATATTCTTAAAGCATTTGGCTTTGTATACTATGTAAGCAGACTTGTATTTCACAGAATTTGTATGTGCTTAGTGATCATTGAAATCATATGAGAGAAGGGATTTTATGTAATCTGAGAGGCTCAGGATCAGTGCTCATAACAAAGTTTTTTCTCTTCTCATTTCCAAACTTTTTTAGAGGCAGAGGGAGGCTTACTTAACTTCTAATGCCTACTTTATTTTAGCCAAAACTTATCTAAGGTGAGACAAGTATAGCCAAGTGCTAACTCAGAATAAGATGCTTAAGGAAAGATTAAGATGTCTGCACTGAAATGTGGTGATTGTTGATATGCGCTGAAAACGTGTGTGCAAGGCCTGCATGAATCAGGCCTCAGGAATCAGGCGGCGTTGCTGAAATTCATAGAGCAGAACATACCATTGACCCATTGTGTTCATCTTTTGTGTTATCTTTGAGAAGATGTCTTTATGAAGGGCCCTTTTTATAGGGAGATATTTATGTTTTCTTAGTCTAATGATGAGAACAGCATTGCAGTGGACCATTGAGCAGAGAAAGAAGTGGCATTTGTGAATTCAAAATTTAATGTGAAATGGAATTTATTTTAGTGTAGTGTCTTTTGTACTACTATGGATGGTCCATATTAGAAATGAATTTGATAATGAAAGTTCAGGCTATTTAAATAATAAATAAATGGCTGTATGGTCTCTATATGTTCAGGGAACAATTCTTTGAAGTGTTGGATAGATAGGATCATGGTATCCTATAAAGATTAAAAGATAGGTATCACAGATTTTTCATGTTGGAAGGGACTTTGCCATTCAGTTTAATTTGAGACCAGAGTAGGAATCCCTTTAGTAGTATTTCTGATGTTAAGATCTGTAAGGGAGTTGAGTTCAAGCACAAGAGGTTTGGAGATTTTGCTTTTAGGCAGTGGGTAGCTATTGGGTCTCAAGAATAATGAGTGTTCTGTTGACACTTCAGGAATGTGGGTTTCAAATGCATGGGTCCTCTTATACACATATTTTTGTCAATATATTGGAACATTTTTTGGAGATTCGTAACAACTTGAAAAAATTTTCTTTTCTCTAGCTTATTTTATTATAAGAATATAGTACATAATACATAAAACGTGTAAAATATATGTTGACTGTTTATGTTACTGGTAAGGCTTCTGGTCAGTAGTAGACTGTTCATTAAGTTTTTGGGAAAACAAAAGTTATACTTGGATTTTTGACTGCACAGAGGGTCAGTGCCCCTATCCCCTGTGTGGTTGAAGGGTCAGATGTACGTGGTCAGAGGTCAGAGTTGTGCTTTAGGAGATTAATCTGGCCTTGAGGTGTAGGAAGACTTGAAAGGGATGAGAAAGTGGAGTTGGAGAAAATAGGTGCAAGCTCTACAAACATCTGGGTATTGGGTAATGTTTGCCTGGATTGGAGTTAGAGAAATGAATATGAAAGTGTGGGGCAGATGTGAAAACCATTAAGGTTGAAGACTCAAGAGGACTCTGAAATTACTGACTATGGATAGGAAGGCAGAGAGCCTCCATGGTTTAGAAGCTGAGCTGCTTGGGATAATAGTGGCAGCAGCTATAATATCCGAATTATTAACTGTCTTTTTGTTTAGTGCATTTTCACTATTTTAATAGCATCAACTAATAAGGCCATTAAATATTATTTCATATCACTGTGCTTAAAATAGATTGTTGCGATAAAATACATTGTTTACGAAGAAACTTCTTAAGAACTTCCTATGTCACGGAAAGATTAAAAGCACAACACAAGTAAAGGACCCATTTAAAAGTCAAATTAATAATGAGGGAAGTTGCCTGACTAGGCTTGATTCATCTTATGATATTTCAAATGGCAGCTATGGCAATCTGAACTCTTTGGACACTTTGTATATTTCAGATTTAAGTTATTTCTTGTTAACTTGTAAATAAGTATTTCGTTGGT